AAAAAACATTGTTGCCGATGAATGCCAATATATGCAACGCATGAGTGCTGATGTGGTTATTGTCATTTTTCATCCTATAGGAACTCTATATTGTAATTTCAATATATCAACAAGAAATTGTTTTAGAAACTGAAATTTTTGCCGTTTTCACATCTCACTTGTGGTTACATATAGGTAACATTTTATTGAAATATCAGAGGTATGAATTGAGTACGGTTGTTTGTGTCAGTCGTCCTCTGACTCTTAGATACATTACAATCACTTAATCGATATTCGATGAGAATCGCTTATATAGACATGGATTTCTGGAACAGATACATGTATTCAACACTAGAGAATAAATACATAGTTAACAGAGAAAGAACTGATATCCTTCTTTTTTCGCGCGTATGCGTGTATAATATGGTACTAAAGAGTGAATGTCGATATGAGTCATTGCTGACGATTGAGTTTTTCCTTTTGAAGACGATTGTGCATGAACATCGTTCAACCTTAATCTTTTATCAATTCTTAACACAAGTGATGCTAAATATAGAGCGAAATAAATATAACGTCTTCTCTTGACTAGAGAGAGACAGCTATATCAAGAGTGGAGAAATAGGAAGCTTCTTTTTTATTGAAGTAATGAGTTTCTTTGATTATGTAAAATCTTCTTAACAGACAAAGAAAAAACTGAAAAGTATTCCTATACCAATAATTTATATGCAGATCATATCTATGAATCATTCAAATCAAATAACAGATTGAAATCGGAAACTCAAACAATAGCATTTGTAATTAGTATTATGAACAAAATTTTTTTCCATTTGCTTTACTATTAAGATATGATAAAAAAAAATGAACTATATCTTCAAATGAAACAAAATATTTAAAAATTACGAGTATGATTATAAATAATAACATTTTTGAAGGAAGGAACTATATAAGCAGAAATATCAATCGTGAATGAAAATCTACCGCTGTCGCAATGGTATTCAAAAGAAAAAAAATACTTCCAATATCACTGCTGGGATTGGATTGAATTACAACTATTATTACTAATTCATAGGATTCTTCCAGTCTCAGCATGTTACTCTTGTGAACACCCAAATTCTGTACGAAATTGTATAATTTTGCAATGTTCTTAAGAAAAAACCATGCTGCCGTGCTGTTATTACGATGGTGTTGTTAAAAGATCTTCAACCCCCCGATATTTCTACAGAAAGCCTACTATAGACATTTCTGATATTTAACCGATTTTTAATCTAGGTTCTTGTTAAGAAAATATTTATTAAACCATCCGATAGTATTTATTCGATTGTTTAATTTCAGCAACAACAGAGGCATGGTATCGTTTCATACTTTATTCATATTGTTATAACCTGAGAGAATTTTTTTCGACGAAATTCTAGAGGCTCATGAAATAAAATAATTTCAATTATTCTGACACAATATAACTAGAACAATCGAAATTTTGTTTTTTATTCATTGTTTTTTGGTGATGGAAAAAGAAGCATTCCAATGTATCTTGAATACATTGATACTGAACGCCATCTGCCTTATCTTAGAGGCTATGTGGTAGTTTTTATACAATGGTGAAATAGCATATGCATATAATAACGTATATAATAGCTTATTTCAATCTCTAAGGAACTCAATGTGTATTTTTCGAGAATTTATTATTGATGGAACAGTTATGAACTTAAAAAATACACTCATTTTCGAATCAATAGAACAGATTTTTGTTTTTTAGGAAACGGAAACTTAAACTCTTTTAGTATATATAGAATAGATTTTACAACATCAATCCAGATGCCATAAATCAGTTGTTAATTCGTTTATTAACAACAAGTATATTAGTGTAACAGATAAAACAACCTGTCAAAATTTCTTTTTATTTGCTATTCATTTTTAAATATAATTCAATCAACTTAACAGAGAATTAATAAGAAATCAATTGAATCATTAGTATTGATCATCTAATCTATAATATATGGATAACGATAGAAGAGATTTTTTCCTTTTTGAATTTAGTTGAAATCATTTTATTTAATTTAAAATCGTTCTCGAATTTTTTAGATAATAATCGAATATACATCATTAAATAAATTCAATGCAATATTATTATTTACATTCAATATAAAAGAAATAATAGAAGATTTCATAGAAAATATTAAACAAGTTATGATAGTAGTCGTTCAACTATAATAATATAATTTCATTTAGTTTTTAACAAGTTGTTTATTAATAATAATAAAAGATTTATAATTGTTTATTTATGAAATGAATAAAATAAATAATTGAAATATTTTCATATGTTTAATCATATTCTTTTTATTTTCTATTAAAGATATCAATGAAAACAACAACATCATTTAGTAAAATTCGATCAAATAGAATTAAATATTTAAAATTATTTCCATTATTTATTCATGATATTGATCAAGTAAGTAACGATGATATCATTCAAAAAAAAAAAAAGATATCAATTAATACTATGTGTAGTATAGATCGAACAAGATGAAGATCATTGGCCTTGTTTTGAAGCAAAAATTGTTGATGATCTTATTATGATTCCTGATGTTGAACAAGGTGATAAACTTTTTAGATATGTAAGTTCAACGATCAAATTTTAAATACTTAATTAATAATTAGCAAAAGAAGATAGTTTGACTCTTACATTTTGAAAATCAAATGTTGATGCATCAACTTATTATTCAATCCCAGCAATGATTATTAATAAGTATCACTTATTCCCTATGTTCTACACCTAAGCATATGTTATTTGTGCCATTAGGATTACATTTTTTTTTCAATCATGAAAAATAGTTATAATGTTCATTTCTTTATATTTTAATTTGCTATTTCATACAAGAACTTATTATTATTATATCTTTATAGAAATAAATTAAGTAAACAACTGAAATTAAATTTCTAGAATTAAACACATTCAAAATATCAATCGTTGACACCTCGGATTCATATAATGAATCAATTTTCTATTTATTATTATTAGAAATAATTTTGACTAAAAGACTGGTTTTCCTTTTTTTTTGTTTGTCTTGTAGGGAAGTTTTGGTAAATGTGAATTTGTTCGAACTACAACTCATGTTTCATCATCAATACCATTAGGAATAATACCAAATAGTAGAAAACAATATGAAAAACCTTATCGATTACGATCAATTGAAATTAATGATAGAAAGTTTGTTAATTTATTATTTTAATTTTATTTATTTATTATCTAATCAATAAAATTTAGTAATCAACAAATGGAGATTGATGAAGAAAGTTCTAATTTTGAAAAAGATTTTCTTAATGAATTAAATCATAAAATGTTTCCATTATCTTATGAACAAGTTCGAGAACAAAATTATCATGAATGTCAAACAATTCTTCAACAAACTAAAATTAATTCAACAATCGATTCTAAACCTATTGAAGATAATAATATCGAAATCTCATCATCAAAATTACTTATCTATGAACATGCTTATCTCTTACCAGAAGAAGTTTAATTCAATCATTCTTTTTTTTTTGTCTTTCAATTTTTTTTTTTTTTTAGACAATTTTTCTTCAACATGCACTTGGTTGTTTAATTGTTAAAAATGAATTTAATCAAGTAAGATAATAAAATATTAGCTTTTCTTTTTTTTTTGTTTATAAAAAATAATTTCAAAAGATTTTATCTCCAGATGAATTATGGAATAGATTCATGTTAAAAGATAAAAACTTTCCAATAAAATATGCTGTCTATTATCAATATCGAAGTATTGGATGGGTTATTAAATGTGGTTTAAAATTTGGTTGTGATTATAGTAAATAAATAAAAAAAGGATATGTTCCTATAAGGCCATTTGTTTTGCTCACACTGTTTTCAATTAGTAAAGTATTTCTCATCGCTTAGTTTTGCACAATTTTGATATAACCTTAGTAGCTCCTGGACTTCCAAAAAAACTTTTGTTTTGAAATATAGAGAGCCTATGCTTTTCGGTAACACCATCGTGTTCAGCATATCTTAAAACCTATTCCTCCAATTTTTCATAGTCTTTACTCAACTCTATCATGCAAAATACTAGTTGCTTCAATCTAGGGAAAAAAATTGGCTTTTTTGTCAATCTATTACAACAATGTTGGACTACCTATATGATTCCTTAACACCAGATAATCTTCCATTAGTATGAAATTCGATAAAAAATCAAATAATTCATTTTTAAAAATATTTCTAGGTTTTTTTTTCGTGACATTATAGTTAATGTGCGAGTTTTTTAGAGCTGATTTCATTTGGAATAAATAAAGTAAATTTTATATTTTAGAAAATGTATGAAAATTGAACTGTGAGATGAAAAATTATTCTACGATTAAGTTATTAGTAGTATACGTTTTTCTCTGTTATAATCCGGGTCGTTTTAAATCTTAGACACGATGTTCATAATCAATGCGAAAAATCACGCCTAGTGCATTGTTTTTGTAAGTCTTGGAAAAGGGTACTTCAGAAACTAATAAAGTCATATCGAAATAGCGCATGATACCTAGATGATGAGAAATACTTCTAACAACTCTCTCATATATTTCCAATTGAAAATAATATCGACAAACAAAAATGACCTTATCGAAACATGTTATTTTTGAAAATAAAATTTTCTTATTAGTGCTTTATAAATTTGGTCCAACTTTTAATCATGCTAATTATTGTTTATCAATTGAAAATTTTTGGAAAATAAATAGTTGTACATGGTCATTTATATCAGGATTTAATCGAGCATGTTTAAATGCAGGTAAAACATTACTTTTAACCAATGTTGAATTACCAAAAATAAATACGAATAATATTGAAGAATTTCTTGAACAAACTAAAATAAAAACAATAGCAATTAATCGATGGATACCAACACAAAATCAAACTTTAGAAGAATCAAAATAATTATTTCATTTATTTTATTTTTTTTTTTTGTTGTTTATTCTAGATAAATAAATATTTCATAATGACATGGTTATGGTGGATTTTTATCATTAGTATTATTATGTGTACGTGAAGCTGCTCTGATTGTCTCATATGGCGACTTGTCAATCGCTTATAATTTTATTTTATTTTTTTCTTTTGGAAATTTCTAGTAGTGTTATATGTTTCGAATAAATATTATTGGTCGGGTACACAATGTTCATCACATGATCGAATGGATGGAAAAACTGTTGTTATTACAGGAAGTAATACTGGTATTGGAAAATATACAGCTATTGAATTAGCTAAACGAGGTAAATTAATATTTGTAATGATTTAAAAACAAAAAACAACAGAAGATTTTGTTTTTTTTTTTTCATATAGGTGCTCATGTTATTTTAGCATGTCGAGATCGAAAACGAACAGAAGAAGCTTTAAAAGATATATGTAGATTATCAGGAAATAATAATGTTGAAATCGAAATGCTTGATCTTGCTTCATTAAAATCAATTCGGGAATGTGCAAAACGACTTCGTGAAAGATTATCAAAATTAGATGTTTTAATAAATAATGCTGGTGAGTGAATATTTTCAATATATACTTAGCAAAATATAAGTTGATAAAATCCGTTTGATATGATTAGCATACGAATATTTGATGTTTGTATGAATTCAAATAGAATTTCGTTTACATATGATAAACATATATTAATATCATTTTCTAATTGTTTAAAAACAAAAGAAATATAAATCTTAATAAACTAATAATTTTATTCTTAATTTTTGTTTTATTCATTCGTACGAATGTATAAAATTCGAATGATCATTTAGTTTAAATAATTCTTCTAATTACAAATTATCTTATTCATCCAATTGTCTCGTTAGTGTAATCGATAATCGTATAAATCTCGTATTTCTACTGTCATTTATCTTTTCATTCTATTGTCCTTTTCATTGTTCACTTTTCTTTTTTTTTTTTATTCTTCTCTCACTCTCTTCTTTGTTCTATACATAAAACTGCATTCTACGTAAAGTAGATACAATTGGAGTAATGAAGTAGTATACTTCGGATTTAAATCGAAGGTAACAGCAATGTCATTTCTTCCATTCGTCATCGTCATGATGAAAAAGATAAGGTGCTCAAAATTTGAACAAAATTCTTTTTGACGAAGTCAAACGATATTTTTTTGAGTTTAAGAGAAAAACCTCAATATGATAAATATGGGGTTTGCATTCAAAAGTTTTCAATATTATATAGATTCAGTTCTCAATGAAACGAATATCATATTCAAAACCAGCAAAAAGAAATCTGCATCGAATGGTATATTCAATACTTAAAATTAATTTTCGTCGAATTTTGGATCTTAGAGGAAGTACAGGTTAGAACATTCAAAAATATCAGTAATGTAACGAAAATTTCTTTTAATTATTGAGTATACTCTTTGATACTGATTCGGAACTGAAGTTCTAATCGTTAAAATTTTTGAATAAAAATCCGTATTTACGACTTTTTGCTATCATATCTCAAAAAATCAAATATTATTTTTTAAAAAGTATACATCATTTTTTTTCTTTGTCTTTAGGTGTTATGATGGCTACAGGGAAATCAGTTGATGGTTATGAAATTCATTTTGCTGTCAATCATCTTGGTCATTTTCTATTAACAAATCTTCTATTAGATTTAATGAAAAAAGCACCATCAGCTCGAATTATTAATGTTTCATCAATTAATCATTCTTGTAACAAAAGAAAAAAAATTCTTTTATTTTCAATAAATTAAGAACTTCCTTTTTTTTTTGTTCTCTATAATTAGTTTATAATTGTACAATTAATTGGGATGATATAAATTTTGAAAAATCATGTTGGAGAATGAATGCTTATTCACATAGTAAATTAGCAAATATTTTATTTACAAATGAATTAGCACGACGATTAAAAGGTTTATATTATTAAAAATAAAACTATTATCTATATTTTAAATTTCAGATACAAATATTACAGCAAATAGTTTACATCCTGGTAAATAAATTTTTTTTTTTTGAAAAAAATAAAAAATATTCTTCAATTAAATTTTCATTTTATAGGTGTTGCTCGAACTGAAGTTATTCGATATATGTGGGGTCGTTATCAAATAATATTAAAAATTTTACTTCTTCTTATAACACCTATCTGGTGGTGTTTAACTAAAAATCTTGAACAAAGTGCTCAAACATCAATTTATCTTGCATGTGATCATCATTTAGATAATGTTACAGGAAAATATTTTAGGTTAGTTATTTATTTTATTGTCATTTTGTTTATACATATATATATATATACAGTGATTGTAAAGAACGTCAATCATCAAAAATATCTCGTGATGAACAATCTGCTGAACGTCTTTGGAAACTTAGTGAAGAAATGACACAATTAAATGATGCATTAAAAGAAGTTCGAAATGAACAAAATGATTAATTGAAAAGAAAAAAAGAAATTTTTTTTTTTGAAAAATTTTTTTTCCAAAATTCAAGCAATAAATATTTTTTTAGATAATAAAAAAAAAAAAATGATGACAACTACTAATGAATATTGTTCATATTGTCAATCATCATCATCATCATCATCATCTTATATACCTCTTCGTTCAACATGGGCAAGAGCTGTTTTAAATAAAATACAAAATGATAAATGTTTAAAAAATATCAATCGAAATAAATGGTATCGTTTATCACATCAAAATCTTTTATATGATGAATATCGAAAATATTTTCATGAATTTTATGAAGATGAAGAAACAATTGCATTTATTAAACAAAGTGAAAAAAAATCTGATAATATTCCTTTACAAATTATTCATAGTATCTTAACATCATTATTAACACTTTTTATGACAAGAACATCAGGTATGATCATATTATTTCTTTTTTTTTTCCTATATTCACTAATCATTAGTAAATTTTATGTGAACGTTCAATTTTTGTTTTTGTATCTATTCTAGCAAATGGTTTAATTGGTCGTGGACGTATGTTTGTATATTCAAAAGATCAATTTAAAACTTTACTTGATATAGAATCTCATGAAGAATCTCCATTTAATACTCTACTTGATATTGGTGCTGGTGATGGTTCAGTAACTGAACGAATGTCTAAACTATTTAAAAAAGTTTATGTAACTGAATTATCTTCTACAATGCAATGGCGTTTATCAACATATGGTTATACAGTATTAAATACGGATTATTGGAATAATTTAACATTTGATGTAATAACATGTTTAAATGTTCTTGATCGTTGTGAGAAACCATTAACATTATTAAAACAAATACGTCAACATTTAAATCCTAAAAAAGGTCGTTTAATAATAAGTCTTGTTTTACCATTTCGACCATATTTTGAATATAATAATAATAATAATAATAATAATAATAATAATCATTATCCAAATGAATCAATAGATATTCAAGGTATTTTACCTGAAGAACAAATTAATAGTTTTCTATTAAATATTATTCAACCATTAGGTTTTCGTTTAAAAAAATTAACACGTTTACCATATTTATGTGAAGGTGATATTGAAAAAAGTTATTATTTTCTTTTTGATTATTTATTTGTACTAGAGATGTCATGACATTCGATTCTATTTCTTTTATTCGAAAATGCATCACATCTTATTCACATGACCTCTTTTTTTGTTTTTTTTATATATAATATATCGAGTGCAGATATATATATTGAAAACGAAGGTTCTCTTTTTTATTTTTATTTTTTGCTTTCTAGATTAATTTACATATAATGAGTAGTAGTAGTTCATTTGAAGATAAATTAAAAGATTTAAATTTATCTAATGATGAATTAAAACGTTTTTCTGATGCATTTCAAAATGAAGAATTTCGTAAATTATTTGTTGAATATGCTGAAGAATTAAATGATCCAAAAAATCGTGAATTATATGAAAAAGAAATTCGTGCTGTTGAAGAACAACGTGGTTCAGATGTTACATTTATACATCCTAAACCAGGTCATGTACTTAAAACAATAATAAATAATAAAACAAAATGTTTTATTAATATAGCAACAAATGAAAATGTTGATAAACCATCATATAATAAAACTAATGATATAAATGGTAAATCAGGTGTACAATGGAGTTTACCACATTGTTTAGCTGGACCACATGAAGATATTGATCATGAATCAAAATCTTGTACAGTTTATGATGTTATTTTTTCTCCGGATACATATCGAATGGCAGAAACAAATGAAAAATTTATGAAAATGGTTGAAGATTCAGCATTAGATACAATTGAAAATAATTTTCATTGTAAACTTGATAGAAATAATATAAAAATATTAAAAATGAAATTTAAAGGTATACCAAAAGCAACTATACTTAGAAAAAAAAAAGAAAATCAACAAGAACAAGAAATTAAAAATGATACTGAAAATGAACTTAAACAAGAGACGTAAGTTAAAATATAATTATGATTATAAATTGAAGCAAAAAAAAAAAAAAACAAAAGCATACTGATTGGATGAATAGTAATTTTCGATAGAAAATGTTCAATCATGTCTCTAATGCAATTACTTGATCTAATAATGTGAAGAGACATAATGAAATCTTTCTTGTTTTCTTCTCAAAGCGTTTTATGTAACATGAAATGTTATTAAAGTAAGAAATTTACTTCTTTCCGTTCATTATAGTGCCTTTAACTCCTTCTCTCCATAACTTATTTTCTTTCTGATTACGCCGCCGTCAATAGGCAGAGCTAGTTAATCCTTTACCGCCTGACCTCTAATCTAGTAGAGACAGTATTAAGTCAACTACGAAAATAATTTACGTAGGTACTGATAAGGACGTTAAATTTGGGCGAAATCATTTAAGCAAAATAAACTATTCTGCTTGAATGATAGGAGAATTGAATTTATTGTTTTGTTTTTTTATCTCTATAAAACTGAAAACCTAACCTTTTGAAAAGAAAAATGATTAGATACGTTCGTATTTCAATTTGAAATCATTCAGTCCAATTATTAAGGTCGTCTCGTCCAGAAAGAAGTATATATCAACCTTCACAAACATAAAAGTAATCAATCTATGTAACTAAATAATATTACTATTAGTGCAATTCCTATGAGATTCAAAATGTGAAACATTTGAAACGTATGTTTTCATTATTCTTTTACTTAATCCTTGAGAAATGTAATCAGAAAGTAATTTATATATTTTCATTTAACCTAAGAATATATATATATATATAGTTTTTTCTTTTCTTCAAGTGATGATATAATTGAAAAAGCTATATCAAATTCTCAACAAAATCATAAAGTCGTTTTATCAAGTCATAATCGTACTGTAAATTCTCCTCCACCACCACCAACAACAACTAATCTAAATCCATCTGAAACAATGAAACCATGTACAGATGAAAATGGTTTTACTATTCCAACATATCGAATAATTCATCGTGGTGAATTTGATATGCAAGATTGTACACAATCTCTTGTAACACAAGTTCGTTCGATGCGTCCAAAAGAATTAATTATTGAAATTGATCTTCCATTATGTGCATCATCGAGTAATGTTGATTTAGATGTATGTGAACGTTCACTTAAACTTCATTGTAATTCACCAAAATATTCTCTTGATCTTCATTTACCTTATCCAGTACGTGAAAATGATAGTCATGCACGTTTTGATAAAAAACAACGAAAATTAATTGTTACATTAGTTGTTATTAAAGAAACACCATTAATTATTGATGTTAATACAAATATTGATATGGAAGATTCAAATGAAGAATCAACAGAAATAATTCCAACAATAACAACTAATGAATCAGTAACATCAATTGAAAAATTTCCAACAAATATAACTTATTCATCCATTCCATTTGAATATAAACAAGGTTTAGCTCATGTAGCATTAGTTTTACATGTTAAAAATATTGATAAAACAAGTTTTAAACTTGAAAATGATGGACAACATATAACTATTCAATTATCATCATTAGGTTCAGGTTTTTATCCTTTATATCATCAACTTTGTCTTGATTTTGATGAACCAATGGTATTTGATACAACAGAAAATTCATCAACAATTAAATTTAATGATGATAATGTTTTAATACTATTAAAAAAAACTTCAAATGATAAACAATTAACTCAATTTTCAAGTAGTACTAATCGAGAAGATATGCAGGTAATGAATTTGTTATGATCTTTGGATCATGTTTTATGGCTCCTCCTCGCACTCCTGAAGAGAGAAAGATACTAAACGACATTAATAACAAGACTTACGAGGACACTATCTGAACTGAAATCCGCCGTTTGATCTCATACTGGGTTGACAAGGAGATCTCGGGCAGCCTAGAAAAATGCTAAAAGGATTCACGCTCATGAACCTCTGGAGTCGAACTTTTAGGATTTTTCTAATCTTACTGAATCTTCTTTATGAATTCAATATAAACTCAAACGACGGGTTTCAGTTCGAGTGATTCTCTCGTTAGGCTATTTCCAAGCCATTCTCGAAATTTCAATGGCTGGAATACGTTTGTCAATGTTATAAATGCTATCGTTTCTGATCGCTGCGTAAATGAAGAAATATATGATAGATGTCAAGAACAATGGATAGTGATGGATTGATCTAATACAGTCACCATATGATCAACATAAAAGGCGTGAATTGATTAAGTTATAACTTTGGGAAATAATCAATATCAGTGTAATAGTTAAATCAATAAGTTAAGAAAAACAGAAAATCAAAATCAAAAGCAACAAGACAAATAAAAAATAGAACATGTGCGAAGAAAAAAAAATTCTGTTTGAAATGCAGAATTAAATAAAACATCTATAGTCCTATTAGAGATGTTTCACTTAATATATTTTGTATTTGTATAATGAGGTGCAAAAACACAGGTAAATTCGATATTTTAACCCTGCAGAGGCTGTGCTGACAAGCTTGTTTTTTTTTTCTTAAATGATTTAAACTTAGTATTATTTACTTATTTAGATCAATTATTTTACTGTTCCAATTCCTGTGGAAAAAACAGAGTCATTACCAAAATACACAATGACAAAAGAAGATTTTATTAAATCTGATTCATCTTCATCATCAAATACTGATCAACATAAAAAATTAACAAAAAAACAAGCTAAAAAAATGGCAAGAGAAAATCGAAAAAAACAAGAACCAACAGATGATAATCAACAACTTGTTAATGAAATTTCCAAAATAACACTTCAATCAAATCATAATGAAAAAAAATCGGATGATACGAATAATGATAATAATAATAATAATAATAATAATAATAATCGAAAAATTACCTCCGAAGAAAACGATGATAATTTACCAGATATGCCAAAAGTTATTCCACGTTCATCAATGTATCGTCGACATATGTCGGAATCACAAGTTGATCTTGAAGTTTCATCTAATGGAAAATTTAAACTTAAAGTAAATCAATCAGAATAAAATATAACAAGTCATTTTAGGAATTTGGAAGTTTTATAATATTTTTCTGATATCTTAGAACAGATAGTAACAATTTTAATGAATCATATTGTTCTTTTATGATCTTTTTTTTATAATCTTTGAATTAGCATGAAACAGTACTATTTGGTCCGACTTTCTGAATATACATTCATTCATTTACTTTCTCTTGGTTCTTTCGAATGTTTATTTCCACTGAGACATCACATCATGCACTGTTGTTTCATTGTAAGTACTCGTATCTTGCTTGGATTAATCCCAGTCGATCGACCATCAGACGCTTGCATTTGAGTTCCGTCCTCAGACCTAGCTCCGAAGATGTGCATCAGCATCCCACTTCCAGGCGAAGTACAAAGATTCTTTTGTTGTGTACATCATGATGAGTTTACATAGACTCGTTGGTATAATGCAGAAAAGAAATTAGAAGAAAAACTAAACAAAATAAACCTCTTATCTCATTGACATGCATGATATCTGAAATTTTTTCTTTAGAATATGTTCGACTATAAATTTTAGATCTTTCCTACCAGCCTCTTTTTAGAGTGTTTGGTCTTTATAATATTCTAGGAGTCGCCATAGTTGAGTAGTTACATAGTGCTATATATACTCGTAAAGTACCATGTTCGAGTCTCAATACAATGGGTAATGGAATAACCTTAGGCACGTCATGAGCGTGTTGACTACCTCGAATCAGTCGTCTACTAGGAATTATTAATTTTGTTGAGATATATGCTGATTCTCAAGGCTGGTATGTGGTTAGTCAGTGTGTATGCAGCGGTCAATCGATCGATCGAGAGAATATCTTTTGACAGTATCCTAGAGCACAAGATAGCCGAAAGGCAAATGTATTCTATCTAACCTCCATCATATTCATACATGTCAAACTTGAAGATTGAATTCAACTATTCAATCATTGGTAATGCGAACGACGTACACACACCCAACCAATAATTGATAGTTCATTTCCTTTTTACTTATTCCATAACTCAAAATTGTCATCATGAATATTTACTAGGAGGAAGTGCTCTTTTCCGCCTGATTGACCTTTCATATCAACGTCACGACGTGGAGGCGTTTCGCGCTCCCGAAAGGCCGCAATCTATGCTCGTCTTTGTGTACACTATGCTTGCAGCATCTCAGAATAGTGGAATATTTGAGTATCTTTACTTCAATCATTGGATAATTGAATTCAACTTTCAGGTTTGACACTACTGATCATATTCTTTAAATACAAATATATAAAATAATATCTATATTAACAAAACTTAAATAGACAATTATGCTATGATTTTTTGATGTCTCATAAAATTAGAAAACATTTAATACTTTTCTCATTATTTGTTTGTTTCTTTTTTCTAATTTTTAGGGTATATTAAAAAATTCAACAAAATATCGTTCATTATCAGAATCATTAAATGATCCATTTATTAATATAAGTACTGAATTTCAACGTGAAGAATCTGTATTTGAAGCATCTTCAGCAGTCGATGATTTAACAAGTAGTAATGAAAATAATAGTATAGTAACATCACCAGATAGTAGTGGTAGTAATAGTTTTTGTCCAACATCAAATTCATCTGGTAATGTTAAACATGTAACATTTAATAATCAAGTATCAAGAAAAACATTTAAACCAGGTGGACCAGTTTCGGGTATGAAAAAATTATCATCAAATCAACAACGAAAATTAAAAAAACGTAAACGACAAGATTCTCTTAATTCTCAATCAAGTGATCAAGATGATTCCATTAATGAAAAAAATAAAACTAAACAATCTGATACTTATAAAAATCCTATTGAATTTCAAGATGTTATTGCTTGGCAAGCAAGTGGATCTCAATCAAATAATAATGACCATACAGAAGAAACAACAACAACAACAACACCAACTACTAAATCAGCTGTACGATTTACAAATCCGCTTATATTTGAATTAGACAATTAGTCTTTGAATTTTTTTCTTTTTATTGTCTTGTGCTGGGCATGTTTGTTGGACTTTTTTCTTTTTATTGTAAATATTCAATGCATTATCTACTATACACATTAGCATCTATAGTTGATGGTGTTTTTAAAATTAAAAAAAAAATGACATTTACACGTTTCTGTTCTTTTCAGATGACAGATATTGATACAATTGATTTAGATCATGTGATATCAAAATCACAATATGGTATATATGAATATCATTTTTCACAAGCTGATCGACTTGATCATGGTATAGTAAGTTCAATTGAAGCAAATAATTATTTTCAACGTTCTCATTTAAAACCTGATCAATTAAAATTAATATGGAATTTATCTGATCCACTTGGTCGTGGTTATTTAGATCGACGTGGATTTTATATTGGACTTAAATTAATTGCATTAGCACAAAATAATTTAGATTATCATGATTATTCAAATATAACAAAAGATATTGTACCACCAAATTTAGGTAGTGATATACCACCAACAATAAGTTTATCTATTGCTGATATATGGACAATAGGACCAACAGCACGTTGTACATTTGATCGTGCATTTGAAAAATTAAGTGGTCCAATGAATAAAATACCTGGTTCATCAGTTAAACCAATATTTCTTAAATCAGGTTTATCAGCTGATCAATTACATAAAATTTGGGAATTAAGTGATACTGATGAAGATGGTGCACTTGATAGCAATGAATTTGCTATAGCTATGTTTCTTATTCATGGTTTAAAATCATCAACAATACGTGAATTACCTGAACGTTTACCAACAAATTTAATGCCAATACGAATGCGTCGTGCATCAACTATTGAAACTGGTATTGTTTTACCAAATTTAATTTCAACAAATACAAATACAAATATATTAACATCATTAACACCATTACAAGTTTCACCATCAAAACGAACCGATGATAATTGGATTGTTAGTGCAGAAGAAAAACAAAAATTTGATATTTTATTTCAACAATTAGATCTTGATAAAGATGGATTTATTGCAGGTATAAAAATGAGAATATATTGAAGCAAAAAAAAAAAAATTATTATTTGCTATGATTTTCTCTATAGGTGGAGATGTTTTTCAAACATTTCTTGCAAGTGGTTTACCAAATTTTGTTTTATCACATATTTGGAACCTATGCGATATTGGTCAAACTGGAAAACTTAATGCAGAACAATTTGCATTAGCATCATATTTTATTAGTCTGAAATTAAAAGGTTTGTTTTTCTTTTCCTTTAATCGTTTATTAACAAATATATTTCGACATGATCAAAATATTATAGTTTCATTTTGCATCAAATGATGTATATTTTACTAGAATTTAAGGAAAAAAAAAACATATTTTTTTTATAAACAATCACAATTCGTTGCTTATTTCTAAATAGATCCATATGTATAGGAATAAAAAGAATACAAAACGTTTAATAGTTTAAAAAGGAGTGCGATTTTTGGCTAATAATGACAATCTGTAATACAATATTCTTAGAAGGCGAATGCAAAAAATTAAATTAAACTACATTTAAAGGTGAGATGTCTTCGATAGAATTCATTGAGTTTTATCAACAGATATCACCAGTGTTGCAAACATATTATCTTATGGGGAAACAGATACAGCTGTCGGACGCCGTTTGATCTCATATTTTGACTACGAGTAAGACTCAGTGAAACTAAGAAAAACCTAAAACACTTTAGGCCTATGTATAATCCAGCCAGAATTATGACTATTTTAGTAGGTTTTCTATCTCGGAACCAGCTATTTATGAAAAATTCAATTATGAGATTTTGATCTGAAATTTCTGATTGAATAACACATGAGTCCGAACCCATTTTTGCAGTTTCTTAGTCCCACTGAGTCTCACTCATTTTCAAAAAACAGGATCAAACAGCATCCAAAAAATTGTAGGTTCTGTTTTTCGAGTTCAAATTTTTGTCCTATGTGGATGATGATCGATTGTTGTCAGAAGAAAAAATTAGAACATAATAACAAAAAAAAGAAATGATCTTATTTTGAATTTAATCTAAATCGAAATTCAAATAACAATTTTCTTATTCGTTTTATGTTTCTCCGTACATATACTATGATTTATTATATGAGAATTGTATTAAATTCTTCGATTTAGATAATTTTTTTTTTTTTTTGAAAAAGAAAAATTTATAAAGTAATTTTTTCTCTATATATAGCTGCAAATTATCAACTTCCAATGGAACTTTCACATGATATGATACCACCATCACTTCGACCAAAAACATTTTCAATAAATGAAAGTGATAATGCTGAATTACAACAATTATTAAGTGAAGTAAATACATTAACAAGTGAAAAAAGTTTATGCGAAGTACATTTTAATGAAAAACAACAAGCTGTTAAAGATAAACGTGCTGAATTATCATCACTTGAACTTCGTTCTGGTACAGTTAATGCAACATTAGCTGAACGTCAACAACGTATGACTGAAAAACAAAATGAATTAAATGATATACAAAATCGAAAAGAAAAAACAATTAAAGATATTCATGATATTGAACAACAAATTAAAGAAGAAAATCGTTTAATAACAATAGCACGTGAAAAAATTAATGAACTATCTGTTCAAACTGATGCACAACAAGAAACACGTCAAACATTAAATAAAATTAAAGATGAAAAAAATACTATTGAAAATCGTCTTTTAAATAAACAACAACAATTAGGACAAATTAAACTTGATCTTGAACGTTATCAACATATTGTTGAAAATCAACGAACTTTAATTGATGAATATACGAAAAGTGATCAAAAAGATTCACAAGCAGCTATTAATGAATTAATAAATAAATTTAAACAGGTACAAGAATCTATATAGATTTTCAGTTTGATATTATATATTTTTCTTTTTGTATTATATAGCTTGCTGATACTCCTGTTAAATCAGCACCTTTCGTAGTTAATAAAATGGTTTTTCCTCAACAACCACAACAACAACAACAATCTCAACTACCATCAACGACAAGTTCCTTTCAAGATCCATTTGGTTTACCAGCAAATGCAAGTAATACATTTAATGCATTTGGTGGTACCAACGATCCATTTGGTAGTACACGAACTGATGATCCATTTATTTCAGCAACATCAGCAACAAATCAAAAATTAGACGACACAGATCCATTTCGTCCTGTTGATTTTAATGCAGCACATGAATTAATTAAAAAATCAATGACTAATCGTTCAAAAACACCCGGTGCAAGTATGTTTGGTGGTCACGATTTTAGTCAACCTACTGCACCATCTACCAATCGACCACAATCGGCTACACCATGGGAACCAACACGTCAAGAACCACCACAACCTGGTACACAAGCATTTAATGATCTCTTTGATATTTTTGGTTAATATTAAAACAAACAAAAAAAAAAAAAAAAAACTTTTATTCATATATGTATAAAATATATTTATTCTCTTTTTTTTTTTCTTCTCGATTATCCATATTATGTCTAGTCTTATATTTTATTTTAAATGTTGTCTAAATAATTATTAAAATAGAACTTATTGTATTTGTCGATTTAAAATTAATTTAAATGTTTAAATTAATGAAATAATATTGCTTGTGCTATCAACACATAAAAGGGCATCAATTCTAAACCAAGGCCAAATGTCTCTTTGGTTTTTTTTTTATAATAGGTGGGTTGTTTTCGTTTCTTTTTTTATCGCAAGTTTTTTTTCTCTCTTTCTCAATACGATCGATGAAGAGCAAATGTGGAAGAGAAAAGAGAAAATGAAAAGGAACATTGATTGCAGATCGAAAAAAAAAAAAAAGGAAGAAGGTATGTTCTAACGGCACAAGTAAGACTTTCATTTTCTTTTGATACCAATACCTATATAACGTTTGTTGTTATTTTTCAATGCCAGGTAATGTTTTGTGCGTCGACTTAAGAGAACGAAGAAAAAGAACTATTTAGAATCACGACATACTAATCTTTTAAATCTGTTAGAAACATGCAAAAGTAGTTTATGTCTACCAATGTCAGATGCTACAGATGTATATATATATATATATATATTTGTCTACTTATAGTGTCGAATATTGATAAGTGAGAAAAAAAAAAGAAGTAGAAATAATATTTACTTTTCACAAGTTGTAATAAGAATTAATGACGAGGAATGAATCAAGAAACTTTATATATGTGATGTTATATATTGTTTAATATATATAATATCAAGATCGGTTATATTACAAATATTGTTTTTATTTATTCTAGGACAAGAAAAAGAAAAAATATGACCTTTTGCTTATCAAACTATGGTTATATATATATATGGAAAATAATTTAATTTATTTTTCTAGATAAATAAATGACTATTTCCAACGAGGAATTACTTATATCTCGACCTCCACAATATCAACAAAGAAAATATCCTACAAATTCTACACAACCACAATCTATTCAAATTGAATGTCAAGCTGAAGAACGACATTTTATAAATGATTCTCCAACAAAAATAAGTGGATCTTTAAAACCAATTCATTTTACAATGAATAAACAAATAAAACCTGGAAAATATCGATCGGAAATTGTTGTTCATAATAATCCTAATGTTGATTTATATATTAAAAGACTTCATGTTGCTTTTGATGCTTATGATGATTTATCAATGTATAATTCAAAACATGAACGTCCATCATCACGTAGTCATACAATATATGATTCATCAAAACAAAAACATCATCAACAACAAGGAAAATATCGTTCATATTCATTACCACCAAGATCTAATACTAAAGCTTTACTACATCAATGGATTGATGATATTTGTTCAAATGAAAAATTAATGGCTGATGATGATATTTGTTTTTTTCTTAAAAATGGTGAATTTCTTGCGAGAATTTAATAAACTTTTTTTTTTTTTCTTTTATGTTGTATGTATGAGAAAAAAATAGATTATCAATAAAGAAGTAGATTATTTTTTCTTTCGCTGTATCAGAGAATAGTTTTAAAAAAAAATATATATATTATCTTACAATCGCTTGAACAAGGACTGAAATCTTATACTAAGATTACAATTCACATTTCATATTAATAAATGTTTTTCTACAGAAAATTTATACCTGTTTAATTCCAGAAAGCATAGTCAAAATCAACATACTTTCATTAAAATCTTCATTGCGATCGGTAAATAATCATCATATATAATTCGATGATACTTATTATTAATAAACATATCATATGTTAATCATTGTCGATATTAACATATATTCTCATAATTTAGACAATTAAAAACTAATATTAAAGAGCTGAACATAATAATTTTAAATCGAACAAATATAAAAAGATAACATAACAGATGTGCCTTGTGACACTTGAACTCTCGATAGTTAAGCCCTCGTTGATGAATAAAACAAGACATAAAGTCAATATCATGTATGAATGTGAATGTGTAGAGGTGAATAAAAGGCTCGCATTCATACTCTAATTTCTACTTTTCATTTGATAAAAAGAGACTTAAACTTTAAACAATCAAGAACTCTATTCATTTTTTATTATATAGTAATAATCATTTTTTTTTAACTACAATTAATTATTACATAGTCGAATTTCTGCTGAATATTTTCAACCTGCGGGAATTATCGAAACATCCGTCAAAATCTCTTTCATAATAATAATATTTACATATAAATATATATTTTACAAACAAGACACAAAAAAAATATATATATATTTCTTTTTTTTATGTCAATCTATCTGCATAAAAATTTATTTCTATCACAAACAGCTATAATTAGAAAACAAAAATATTAGAAAAATATTCTAGAATCTAACAGAAATAATATCAGGAGATGATGAACCATCATTTGATTTTTGTTTATTATTATCTAATTTAAAATTTTCTTTATGTTGTTGTTTTCGTAGATGAAAATAATTTATTCGATTATGATCATTTAGATTTATATGTTTTTGTTGTTCATCATCCGAAATTTGTCCATGAATTTGTTTAAAAACAGAATTAAATAAATATTCCCATCGTCTATTACCTTTTGAATAATGTAAATTAGTATTATCTAAATTTATTCTTCTATGTATTGTTGCTGTTGTTGTTTTATTATCAATACCTTCATCATTATCATCCGTATTTAATGATAATTGTCGTTCAGTCATTTGTGACATATAAATAATTTGAGGTTGTTGACGATTACTTTCTTTATTTTTATTTGAATTAAATTGATTATTTTTTATTTTTCGATATTTTTTATTACGTTCTTGAAAATATAATTTATTTGAAGTATTTATTTCATTAGATGAAACATCAGATAAAAGATCAGATTTCATATACCATTCAATAAATTCATCTTTAGTTATATGATCATCATCATTTGTATTTAATGCATTAAATGCATCATCAATACGTCTTTGTAAATTATGTTGTTTATTTAAATCATGTTCATTTGAATAAGAAATATTATGTCTTTTATTTGAATTTGTTACATCAACAAGTGTATGTAACATTTTATCTATTTCATCTTTTGTAATTTTTCCATCATTATCTAAATCGAATATACTAAAAAGAGTTTCAATAAGACGAAGACGATTAACTACAGTAACAGCTGATAATGCTATGACAAATTCTCTAAATAAAAGAAAAAATTTTTTTTTAAAAATAATGACATGAAATAGAAACAATCATGTAATTATATTTTCAATTGTTTTCTTACCTAAAATCAATAAATTGACTTTTATCTTGATCATAAACATTAAACATATGTCTAATATAATTTAATGTTTTTTGTTTAGGTTTTCCCATTATTCTTGAATATTCATTTTCAAATTGTTTTAATGTTAATTTACCATCAGGACAATCTTTATAAAAATCTCTAAAAATATCATTTAAACAAAATTAACAAAAAAAAAAACAAGAATCTTCAAGACTAATAACTAACAACTTACGTATGTAATTTAAGTAATTCATCTTCTGTAAATCCGGTATCGTGACAAAGTTCTTCTATTGTTTCTTTACTTAATGGTTCACTATTATCTAAATTATGTCGTGATGATTTTGAACCCATTGATGAATTAATTTCTTATATTTTCATATAATACAAATGATCTAAAATAATATATAATTTCAATTTTAATAGAAAATTTCTTTCTTTGAAAACGATTGTTTGTCTAAGCTCGTATTTCAATAGAATGGTAATGCGTGACTGAAAGTCAATATCTAGAAAAACAAAATGCGAATAGTTACTTAGAAAATATTATTGTGACACAGTGACATATGCCTATATGTGTGCGTGTAATATAAATATATTAAATAAAACGGGAAAGAAAAAAATCCTAGAAAAATAACGAACATATACGTAGCATTAATATACGTATGTAAACAATAGTAAGAATTGAAATTTTGAAATAATTATATACGAAGAAACAACAGACATATTAATCAGCATCGTCTTATAATTATGAAGTTTACAAGTAATCGATCAATAAAACTTAGAATAATAAAATTCATTAGGAAGTTTGAAATATTTATTTAAATGCATATCTATGTCTGTCAGATATGTAGTTAAAAAAGCTTTGATGTCAGACTATTGTAGGATTGCTTTTGATTATTTTGATATCATCAACAAGTCTTACAATAATCTTAACAGACAACGCTATTTTTTTTTTGTCTTGCACGTACTTATGATGATTAAATGTTCGTGAAACTTCACTCTTTATTAGAAAATGATAGTTCTCAAATGAATTTCCTGGAGTCTGCACGAACTACTTAGTCGACATAGCAAACTCATAGAATTAACAATTTTTCTTCTTAAAAGATGATCATTTAAGACATGCATCAATGTTTCATAGAAATCCATTTCGCTAATGGCTCACTATTTTTTTTCTCTCATAAAGCTAATTTGTCATGTACTCTCATTATTGAGCTAATAAATGGCGTGATCACTGGAGTGTCATTCACGCCATAATTAAGTTTCTAATATGTAATAGCATCTCAAATGAACATGTACATCATGCGATCATATCTTTTTCTCTTAAGAGTACCTTTCCCTCCTTTCCGAGGTTTCAGGAGAACGGCTTATCAGAAAAATTTGAAACTTTCAGGATAGATAAATCTTTCCTAATACATACAGGAAAGTTTGTTTTTCGTTTTCCTCAAAAAACCATTTTTGAACCAAAAAACTTCCTACTCTTTTCTTCCACACAGTATGTCCGATCGAGCTCAAATAATAAGTATTTTGATCGAATTGGGGTGCGTATTTTTTTCTTCAAAATGTTGTTCCTAAGGAATCTAGCAGCCTTTAAAAAATTAGTACCACTGCAAAAAACACATTCTTTTGGCAGCGCTTTCAGTATTTTGCTTCTCCTGAGCTCCAGAAACTGTATTTTTGAAAGAAAAAAAACCACACACACACATCTCGATTTGATTCTATTTGTCATCGAAAAAAACTGCAGCTTAAAAAAGTGAAATATAGAATGTTGCAAGGAGGAACAATCTCTGACCATTTTTGACTTTTGGAATCCTCATATCTCTCTGAAAGAAGCATCTAAGAATTTTGAGTCCATGGCAACTTTTGCTCTATTTATCGATAGTCCATCTGTTTTGAAAGTTTCATAATTTTTCGTCGAGCCGTTTCTGAGAAGCTTCGGACAGGAAAGCCCTTCAATTTTTCCTTGATAATACTTAAGAGGACGTCCGCCTCTTCGAAGTTTCTCGAGAACGACTAGGAGAAAAATTTCAGGGTAGATAGATCTCGATGAGTAGAACAAAAGTTGTCATAGACTCAAAATTCCCAAATGCTTTCTTCACGGAGATCTTGTGAAGTCAAGGGTCAAAATAACCTGTAGTTTCTCGCCCTCCAAACATCTACTCTACTTTTTTTTGGGCTAAAATTTTTTTTTTGTGGCAACTAGGAACAAACCTGGGTGTGTCTTTTTTTATTTTTTTGAAAAATATTGTTTTAGAGAGTCAGGAGAAGCAAAACACTGGAAGCTTTTTTTAGGACGATACTAGTTTTGTAAAATCTGCCAAACTTCGTAGGTATAATATTTTCAATAGATAAAACAACACGAATTCCAATTTGATCGAAGTATTCATACAAAAAGTTTGAGCTCAATTGGTCGTATCGGCTAGAAGAAAATTTCAATCTTTTATTTGAAAATCTAATTTTGAGAAAATCGCAAAGAAAGTTGCACTTTTTGGCTTTTTTAGCATAAAATTGAGTTTTTTATATGTAAAAACAAAAGGTTATTTTGCCTTCTGAAAATATGCTCATTAAATAGACAACATTTAAATCTACATACAAAACATAAAAAAATTGAACATTTTGAGTCGAGAAAGTGAAGTTCCCTTAGGTGACAGATGCAAATAACGACATACTTATATCATACTCAGAACAATACATAAGAGAAAAGAAAGCTAGATGCACACGCGTGTACACATGGATACACACAATCATATCGTATTTGCTTTGTAATAAAAAAAAATGCGTAATTGATTGAAATAAAAACTGATGTCATGATGTAACAATGTTTTATTTTTTCTTTGTTTTTCTGATATCATCAATATATATAAACAAAAAAATGATTGATATATCATGATTTTATTGTAAAAATGACGAAATCATGATATAGAATAATTAATTTTTTCCATTTTCGTTTGATTCAAATTCTTCATTTTTAATTTTTGATTGACTCTTTTCATTATGATGATCATTCGATTGTTTCATATTAGATGAACTTTCCCATTTACGTGTTAATAAATTATATTCTTTAATTATTTGATTCTCACCTGTTTCATTTGTACTATCCATTAAATATCTATATAAATATATAATCAACAAGCAAAAAAATTACAAAAAAAAAGAACCATTCTTATTTCATACAATTTATTATTTTTAGTTGCAAGACCATTACTTGTTTTAAAATCAGGAATATCTACTATAACTTTCCATTTTTTCTTTCGCATATCATATTCTTCAATTTTACCATCTGAATATAAATAGATATTTATAAAATAAAATTTTTATAATACTAATCACTTACAAGGTACAGCTTTGCCTTTATTATCAAAATTATAACCGCCAGCAACAATTAATGTTCTATATAGAAAAATAATATATAGAAATAAAAAATGATTGAAAAATTTTACGGTGAATTTGTATTATCAATTACACTAATTAATGGTCGAGCTCTTGGAGGATCAAGATCAGCTAATGTTTTCCATTGTTTTTTTTCAAGATCCATTAAAAGTACATCACTATTTCGCATTATACATACATTACATTGTTCTTTTCTTTTATTGAAAATAATTTTCTTACCCATTGCATACAATCTCATGTCCAATAAAATCAAATCCACCGATGACATATAAAGTATTATCAATAACACTAACACCTGGACCAATACTGCCATCTTATCATAAAAGAAATAGATTTTTTTTTTGTTGAATATCAAAATTTTACTAGGCATGTCTGGTAAATTTTTCCATTCAAGTTTATCTGTTTTTGAATCAAGTATAGTAACGTTTGACATTGTTTCGTAATTGAGATTATGTCCACCAACAACAATAATTTTATCATCATCAGTTGCTGCTAATCCAAAACCCATACAACCATTACCAGGCACTGGAGGAATTGAGATTAATTCTTTGCTGTTGTTATTGTAACTATATATCAATGACTTTTACAATAAAATTATTGAAAGAAGAACAGTTCTTTTTTTTTTTTATAACATGAAAGGTTATTTCGATATTGAACTTTATTTAAGAAACATAAGAAGTGTTAGATTTCTGTCGTACAATATTTGTATTTATCACAATCAGTAATACAGAAATACTTTTAAAAAAATCTATTGATTGCTTTATATATATATATATATGTATGTTTCATCTGTAGTAACTTCATCTTTGGATTAATTTGGTGTCCTTTAAACTGGTCCCTGATTTATTTGTCTCGATTGTTCTCTAATTTGGCCCATGTTAAAAAAAAAAGACTAATTCCAAACTTGCCTAATTTGGATCTTATTTGTCAACTAATTAAGATAAACAAAATGAGTAACAGAAATAGTTTATTGTTTTTTTTTGAATATGTTGAAAGAGTAAGTGACATAGGTGAGCTGAAAAAAAGAACAATCACAATACGATGGACTTAATGTTCTTGCAAAAAAAGTTTTTACCGCACGAATGAATTTGATAGTCAGTTATATTTTGTCGAACTCTCATCTCATCATATGCTTGGAATAGGTCGATTAGCTTTTTATTAACGATTAGATCGATGTTTTGCGTAGTAAAATAGCTTATGAATTTAAATTACGAGTATTATATATATTCTCAACGTAAATTGTTATTCTCATTGATTTTGATTGAAGTATTCATTAAGGTCGAAATTGGAACCGATTAAAATCGATATGGGAAATAATTAAAATCAGACAATCTATCTTAATCGTCGATTATGGACGAGTTGAGGTTAAATCATTGGTTTTCTTAATAAATCAAGTTCAAATTAAATTAAAAATCGTTTTTCCTCTAAAATTACTAATCTAACTTACCGAACAAATCTTTCTACTGTTATCCATTAACTAATCTGTATTCTTGACATAAAATACTGTACAACATCTTTTGGACGATATTCTAAACTGAGTTGTTCTAAAAAAGCTGAACCTATATAAATGCAAAGAGTGAAGCACTAACTACATATTGGTAATTAAAACTTTTTAAAAATAAATTGTCTATAATGTAATCTGCCTATTTTATGACATACAACACTCAATGTTCATGTAAACCCTTTATTATTGTTTTAATATAAGTAATTTTTCTTTCAAAATATTTTGAAAAGAGAAATTACTTATATTTGAGCAATGATAACGAATTTACATGGACATTGTAAGTTGTGTGTCATAAAATAGGCAGACTATATTATAGATAATTTGCTTTCAAGAAGTTTTAATTACCAAAATGTTGCTCGTATTCTTCTCTTTGTATTTATATGGGCACAGGTCTTGAGAACAATTCTGTTAAAAATCTCAGTTTAAAAGATCGTCCATCAAAAGTTGACTAGCTAAGATTGTT